AGAGTTTTTTGTTTTTGTTGTAAATTATTTAATGTGAATGCATCTATATGTTCGATAGCACATAAAAGTAATAATGATTGGAACAATATTTCTAGTATATTAAAAAGACACGAAGCAAGTAATGGACACATTCTCAATATGAGGTCATGGATTGACTTAGAAACTAGATTAACAAATAACAAAACAATTGATAAGCAAATCCAAGAACAAATAAATAAGAAAAAGAACATTGAAAAAATGTATTAATAAGAATCATTGCTGTAGTAAAAACATTAGGAAAAAATAATTTAGCATTTCGTGGAACAGATGAAAAGATTTATGAAGAAAATAATGGTAATTTTTTAACTATAATTGAAATGATTGCGGAATTTGATCTTATTATGCAAGAACATATTAGGAGAATTAATGATAAAGAAATTCATAATCATTATCTTGGACACAATATGCAAAATGAACTTATTAGTTTATTAGGAGAAGAGGTTAAAAGTAAAATAATTAAAAAGGTAAAAGAGGTTAAATACTTTTCAATAATACTTGATTGTACTCCCGATACAAGTCATAAGGAACAAATATCGATTATCTTACGATGCTTAGATCTTTCAATAACTCCAATTGAAGTTAAGGAGTACTTTCTAGGATTTTTAATTATAGATAATACAATCGGTAAAGGCTTATATGAAGCAATAGTTGATGAAATTAAAAATATAGGATTAGATATAAATGATGTTAGGGGTCAAGGTTATGACAATGGATCAAATATGAAAGGAAAACATCAAGGTGTACAAAAACGATTGTTAGATATTAACCCTAGAGCATTCTACACTCTGTGTGGTTGTCATAGTTTAAATTTAGTAATTTGTGATATGGCTAATTCATGTGATAAAGCTAGTGAATTTTTTGGAGTTGTACAACGTATATATTCGATATTTGCTTCATCAACTCAAAGGTGGAAAATATTACAAGATAATATATCAAACCAAACACTTAAATCATTGTCACAAACTCGTTGGGAAAGTAGGGTAAAAAGTGTAAAAGCAATTAGATTTCAAGCACCTCAATTAAGAAAAGCACTTTTACAATTATCCAAAAATTGTGGAGATCCAAAAATTCAAAGTGAAGCTAAATGTTTAGCTACATTTGAACTTGAAAACTATGAATTTTTATTAGGAATGATTATTTGGTATGATGTTTTATTTGCTATTAACATTGTTAGTAAAAGCTTGCAATCAAGTGATATGTGTATCGATGATGCTATAGATCAACTAAATGGACTTTTGTGTTTCTTTGAAGAATATAGAGAAAACGGATTTGAAAAGGCTTTAGATTATGCAAAAGAATTGACTTTAGAAATGAATGTAAAACCTGAATTTCGTGAAAAACGTATCATTGAAAGAAATAGACGATATGATGAAAATGTTGCTAATGAAACTATTAAAACTCCTGTTCAGTTATTTAAAACTGATTACTTTTTATATGTAGTAGATAAAGCCATTACTTCACTTAAAAGTAGATTTGAATAATTTAACGAGTTCAAAAATATTTTTGGTTTTCTATTTAGTATAGAAAAATTAAAATAATTTGATGAAAATACTTTATAAAAACATTGTTTAAATCTTGAAAAATCTTTAAAGCATGATGATAGCTTAGATATTGATGGTTTAGATTTATTTAATGAACTAAAACTTTTAAGACATATTATACATTTAGAACGTGATACAATTATTAATATGCTTAATTACATTAAAAAGTTTAGTTCTTTTCCAAATGCATATGTTGCCTATAGGATTATGTTAACTATTCATGTAACCATTGCCTCTGCAGAAAGAAGTTTTTCTAAATTAAAATTGTTAAAAAATTATTTAAGATCTACAATGTCACAAGAAAGATTAAATGGATTAGTTATTTTGTCAATTGAAAAACATTTAGTAAAAGAAATTGATTATGAAAATTTTATTAAAGAATTTGCATAAAAAAAAAGCTAGAAAAATTAACTTTATGTCATAAAATATATTCACAAAAAACGTATACATAAAAAAAAAAAAATTTAACTCCGCAATTTGTAAACTTTTTAGTTTATTATTGTCGGTCTCAAGCCTGGATAAAGGATGAGGGTTTATAACATTAAGTATAGTAATGTCGAAGGGCCCCAAATTTTTGGTTGCTTAGAGCTCCCAAACTGGTTGAGCCGGCCCTGCCCGTTGTCGTGCTCGTTTTGTCGTAAAACTTGGACATGTCATAACTTTTTCGTTATAACTCAGATTTCAGCGTTCTTTATATGTACCGAATCCTTGTGACATATAATATAAGTTAGTTAAGATTATTTGTTGTAAATAATCTTCTATAAAAAAGTTATTTTTGACGCTTATTGTTTTTAAATTAACTAGTCCGAATATGTGAACGTCACATAAGGTGGTCCTCTCTTCTTCCCCTTCCTTATTAATCACCAAAAGTACCCACAAAAGCTCAAGAACACTCTCAAGATGGATTAGGGTTCTAGATGGATGAAATGACAAGTGGAGACTGAAGAGGGAATGAGAAATGAGGAGTTAATGATCTTTATATATGGACCAAACCCTAAAAATTAGGGTTTGAGGATCCTTCATGTACTCCCCACGTACGTGGTGTACGCCCAACGTACTAAGACCCACACACGTATGCCCAACGTACCAAGCCTTGGCCTGAGTTTATGAAAATGCCACTAAGGGCCAAAATGCAGTCAATTATCATACTAAAGGGTTAAAAGGTAAGTACTTGAAAACTAAGATGTTACAATTAAAGTCATCATATTATAAAACATTTTCTGATTTGACCATGATAACAACTTTTTATATATTTTTTTGTTAAAGAGAATATATATATATATATATATATATATATATATATATATAATATATATATATATATATATATATATATATATAGTTATACACACTATTTTTTTGTAGAAAAAAATGTTGAAATTAGAAAAAGTTGTTAAATATGATATTTTGTTGGATTTTTCTTTCATATATATATATATATATATATATATATATATATATATATATATATATATATATATATATATATATATATATATATATATATATATTACAATTTTGTTCTTTTTATGTGTATTGTATTTGTTTTTAAATTGTTTGTTTATTTTAACAATCCAACTTTTATAAGATAAAAATAGTTTGGGGTAAATTACATGGATGGTCCCTGTGGTTTAGGGAAATCTGCGTGTTTAGTCTCTAAGAATTTTTTAAACTCGAACGATCCTTATTTTGTATTTTTTGTTGTGTGTTTGATCCCTTGTTGACTTCAAATGACCATATTACCCTTTTGATATCTTTAATCATTTATTATTATTATATTAAATTAAAAAAACATTAATAAAAAACATGGTCCCACCATCAGAATACAGATGATCCCTATACGTTATCACTAACCTTCTAATCACCTGTAACACTACTACTACCATCGGTTTCCTCAACTACCACCACTGGCAACTTTCACTAGAAAATTTGAAACCATAAATTCACTCACCGAAAAGCCTACTTGCGGGAAAACCAATCCCCTTCCTCTGTATTTGGAAAGAACACCTCCCTGCCCAACTTTCTTCATCTCACTTGGAACAAATCGATCTTCATATTAACGGACATTCAAGTATAAGGAAACCTAAAATAGAAGGAAATCAAAAATCAATGAACAATTTGAGATAGTTCTGATAATCACAACTTCATCGTTGATCAAACCCATAAAAACACAAATTGAAAATCTAATGAAAATGAAATCGATTACACAATCTGAGATAGTTCAAATAGATTACAAGCCTACGGATGATTTAAACCATAAAAATCCTAACCTGCTTGGTTGTTTCTTAATTTTGTGCACAATCTAATGAAACATAAATGAATTTCGAATTGCACAAAAATCAGAAAAACACCATATTCATAAGAAACCACGTACATAACCTTGATTTCAAACATTTGACCTAAAGTAAACTCATCCACCTAATTCGTAACAAACCTGCATCAAATCTTGCTTCACCATACTCAAATCTACTCGATACAACTTTCCACGATTGTGAATCAGTGATCGAAGATGATGAATTGACGAAGACGATGATGAATTGTTTATAACAGATAAAAATTTTAATTAAAAAAGAAATGGATGAGGGTAAATTAGTCTTCTTAGAATGGATAGGGACCAAGCGTGCAATAAAAATATAAAATAGAGACCGCCCAAGTTAAAAAAAGTTCTTAAGGACTAAACACACATATTACCATAAACCACAGTGACCATCCGTGTAATTTATTCATATGTGAGTTTTTTCGTTTATATGGTATTTCTATATGACGTAAGGAAGACATCCAAAAATTTTGATTTCTTTTGAAAATATTAAAAAGAAAATCTAACAAAATTCCTTCATTAACAATATATATATATTTTTTTCTGATTTTAATGTTTTTTCTAACAAAAAAAAAAATACTTTCTTTTAACAAAATAAAATATAATGTCTAAATAATAATATAAAATCACAACAATCGTGTTTGATTATTTTTCATATATAGGTATTTTCTTTTAACAAAATAAAATGTGATGTGTAAATAATATTTTCAAATTATTTTTGTTTTCCTTCAACGTTTACACTAAAGCGTGTATGCTGCATTGCTAGTATGTCAGAATAGGAAAATTGTTGGACAGTATACTTCTATATTAGCCCATATATTCCTTTTTCTCTTTTGTAGCGTTGTAGCCATTTTTTGCACAAGTAAATCCACCCCATTGAAGATAATGATCTCTCTGGTCAGGTCCCCATACCTCCCCTAGCCTAGTTACTCCTGTGCTTTAATTTCCAAGCTTACTTTCCTCTACCTCCAGTCACTGCTATTTTCTACCCATTAATTTCAGTCTCTCAAATTCTCATTTACACTGCATATACACAATCATACTTCCAAAGAAGCCAACAAGAAGAACCGATTTAGTAAAGCTCAGCCATCAAACAACCAACAATGGTCAGCACCAGACGAGATACTCGGTCCACTAAAAAAGTTTCAGAATCGTCTTCTCTACTACAAAGAAACTTGTCCTCTGTTAAAACCGAAGAACAACAGCTTGATGATCCCACACAAAATTCTAGTAAAAGAGCAGGACAGACGACGTCTGCAGCAAGCAAAAGAAGCTCGGCATGTCTTGATACGCCACCAACACTCAAGACCGAAGATCCTTATTCGGTGACGCAAACGGAGATTCCTGCTGAGAAGAAGACACCCGAGGGTTCTCATGAAACTGTAGATTTATGGCGTGGGATTGCTGTGGGAAGGGAGGTGAAAGAGTTTCTCGAGGCTGTTGAGCACTGCTACCCACACACATTTCAACGGGTTCAAATTCGTGTTACACGGTTTTGGTTGGGTAATTTGAATGAACTCCATGTAGCCATAAAACGTTTCATGGAGTCATCCGTGGATGCACTGATGGAGGAGGAGATAACCGGATTTCATCAAGATTTTAAAGACTTGGAGAGTTTAGGATTCGATCTAACGTGGGCCCACAAGAGGCTAAACATGGTTGCTAGGCTCAAGTTTGGAAACGAGCCTTTACATAAAGAGTTGATGGCCTTAGAACAATCGTTAGGGCCGCTGAAGGAAAGGGTTGATGGAACAAGGAAACAGTTACTGGAATTTCATAATATGTATAGGAAGGCAAGTTCAGAATATGAAGATGCTACAAAAGCTCGAAACAGGAAAGCAGAGGAGGTGGCACAAGAGTTTGGACCCGACTTTGATCGCATATTAAAGGATCGTCTTGGTTTTGGTATGCTGCCAAACTCCTTAACTCGCATTGCTTAATGTAGCTATTGGATTTTGAGGCACAAAGAAAAAAAATATTTGAAATGTCCATTATAACCCAAGTTATTAATATCGTGATTCTGATTGTAAGATCTTATGATCCGACCTAGATTAATCGATTTCGATCATACGGAGTTTTCGAAGTAGGAACATTACTTTTTAATTTTAATATTGTCTTGGACTCATTAAGTTCAATATGAATCCTACAAAACCACTCTTGAATTGATTATTGTTAAATAATGTATTAAAGATGTATTTTTCATGTTCAAACCAATTATTATTAACTCAATGGTTAACTAATAGCCGAAAATATAATTTTTATGTTTTAAAATGCTCTTGGTAGGATTTTACAATCACGATCTTGCAAAGCAAAAAACGATATTATATAGAATTCCGATCTTCATTTAATTATAACATTTCTTTAGAAATAACTTGGATATTAGAAAATTAGACTTGGAGCTTGTTTGTTTCATGGATTTTAGCGGAATCCATATATTGGAATGGAAAATTTTATATGAAAATAAGTTTGGTTATAGACGGATGGAATTTGAGTCCATCAAATTCCATTAAAATCTATGTTTAAAGGTATCAAACCAAATTTTGGGGAGTGATAAAGGATTTAAAATTTATCAATTTACATAAAAGATTAACAATTTGAATGCAAAAGTTTTATAACATATTTCACAAAATAAGTAGAAATCTTTGAATATATATATATATATATATATATATATATATATATATATATATATATATATATATATATATATATATATATATATATATATATATATATATATTAGTTTATAACCCGTTTAATCACGGTTATACAATTAATTGAACTTTTAAAATAAAAAGTAAAAATTATTAATCAATTATTTTATAGAAATTATTAATTAAGAGATTTTGTAGTTATATAAATTTTAATCATTGATTTAAATAAATATGTGAAATTATATCACATTATAATTTGTGTCAAGTTTATTTTAATTTTTATTATAATGTTATTAATTTAATGTAGTTAGAGTGGAAAATTTAAAATTTAAAATTTGAAATGAAGAATCAATAGATTTAAATATCATGTATTAATTACTAGATATAATATGATCTCATATGACAAAAAGAGAATAAAATATATATTAATTAGGAGGCTTAATAAGATGATATATGTCAAGAGGAAAATAAAATTATTATTTTATTTGATAGAATATGTTATAACCTGAATGACATCTATTATGTGGTCGTAAGGACAATTCAAGACCAATGGATGAATATAATGAATGTTGATCATATGAGTGTTTATGATATTATAATGTGATAGCATGTACTATATAATTACATAAATGTCAACATAAGAGTACTTTAGTCAATTAAACAATATTTAAAAATGGAAATTTTTGGATTTTAAAGAATAATCAATTCTCTTAAATTTTAAAATCTATATTTTTAAAATTAATTCAAATTTAATTCGAACGTACTTTTTTATAATAACCGATTTTATTTTGTCAGGATGACAAAATATCAGGCATAAACTAGTAAAATTATTTCGGATTTTGTTCCTATAGAATATGATTTCATTCATGATATTTTTTATAATTTACATACTTAAAGAATTATGCATCGTATATTACTAAGAATAATATTTTTTTAAAGAATAACATTTTAAATGAAACAAATTTTATTCTTTAAGAATCACTAATTACATTAATTCTTAAAGAATAAGAATGTAAACAATAATTGCCTTCAGTTGAAAAAAAAATATGACTCATAATAGTTAAGAATTACATGTATTCATAAACATTAAAACATTAATGGTTACAAAAGAGAAAAACAAAAACATCAAATATTTAACAAAAACACTAATCCATTTTGAAATAATATTATTCATAATAATCGCTTTATACATTCTGATAGAATCCATTTTTGTTCTTCATGTTTTTTTTTTCTTTTCCACATCAATAATAACATCTACAAAACCAATACTTACAAAGAAAACATAATCAACTTGCAAATATTAAAATTTTTAGTGTATTCTAAAAGAATAAAACTATAAATTCTGATAGAACGTGGTAAACATTATAGATTTCTAATTTATTCTAATAAAATGTAATCTTCTAATCACCTGATTGGAAAATAAATTGTAATCCATGAATTACTAAATCAAATTAAAGTTCAATTTTTTTTTCTTAAAAATATATTGTTAGCTTTATTGTAAAAGAAGTGTTAATTTGTTCAACCAATATGAAAATATAAAATAAACACAAATTATAATTGAGAATTAACAATTTTAATACTACTACATAACTTATTAGTAAATTAGCAATAACAACAAAACCATAAAGCATGAACAAAGCTGACCTGCATTTCAACGATAGTGGAGAAACAATTCTCAAGCATGTGCCTTTTCATGGTTAAACTCACAGAAAAATTACTTGCCTCCGACGAATCTCGATAAAAATCTTACTCTTTAATATAATATCCTAATAAAAGGATAATAATAATGTTTATAGTAATATTATGAGGGGAGAAGATATCATTATCAGGATATAACAAGACCTATACAAAATCAATAATGATGGTGGACAATAACTCAACCATGATTCACAAATTAATGTCTTGCATTTACGATTTTACATTCTCAAACAAAAATCGAACCATCAGGCCTCTATGAAAAGAGAAAAGAACCTGACTTGGATTTTTCCTTTATCGTTGACGTCTATAAATATTTGAATTAAGGTTCTATGTGCTTGAGATCCTGCAAAACGATTTCGTCGACAATTAGGATGACGATGGTCGTGATGTTTTTGTAGGCTGTAAAACTAATTAGCGTAATTTATAGGGATATTAATTGAATTAATTATTACCGTAATTAAATAATAGCTAAGATTACTTTTGTACCATTTTTATTTAATTAATGATTTTTTTTTCTGCATTGTTATTAGCTCTTACGTTCACACAATAGTTGTTCATCCACATATGAACCTTCTCTCTCTCTTTATATATATATATATATATATATATATATATATATATATATATATATATATATATATATATATATATATATATATATATATATATATATATATACTAGAAATTTTAAGGGAAAACTGCAATAAAGTCCCTAAGTATTGCCCGTATAATCGATTTAGCCCTTATATATATATATATATATATATATATATATATATATATATATATATATATATATATATATATATATATATATATTTTTTGCAATTTAGTCCTAAATACCTGTAAACGTAATCAAAACGAGATATTTAATAGGTTAGCCGGTATCCCACCGGTGTTTTGCGCATGTGGCACCTTACGTGTACAAGTGAGTTTTACCCTTCCATTTCCACTGCATTCGACGTCTGGTAAATCGATTGAGAGAAAAAGATAGGGTTTTTACAGAGTGATACACGAAGGAAGTAAGGTTTTACTGAGAGAAACGAAGGTAAAACCCAATGGTTGTCGAATCAGAAGAAGTTCGCCATGAGTCATCTGAAGAATACGACTCTGAAGAATACGAAGATGATGACGAGGTGCTCGATACTGAGCACATAGATGTGGAAATGGAAGAAGATGATTTCAAGACACAGGGTAAAGAGAGATGCAAGGATGCTTTCCTTAACTTCAGTTCTGATTATGAAGATAATGAAGCCGATGAAGACAATGACTTAGTTGATGAAGATGAAGAAGGGTTTGGTTCAGAAGAGGAAATCGATGACACAGCAGGGGCTAATGATCTTGATTTGGGAGATGCGGTTGGTGCAGGCTTCCCCATTCACGACCCATCAGTTAAGTGGAATAAGATGAAGCCCCTTCTTGGTGAAAGGTATGAATCACCACATCAGTTGCAACAATGTCTCACTAATTATGCTATTAAGTCAGGGTATAACATTAAATTTGCGAAGTGTGACACTGTGAGATTAACTGCCAAATGTGGTTCTAAGATGAAGTCTCAACCCTGCCCATTCAGAGTTCATGCTTCCTGGATGACTCAAGAAAGGTCTTTTCAGATTAAAACCTTAGTCGATGAGCACAAATGTGTTAGAAATTTCAATATTTCAAATTTACTGAGTCCCAGATGGCTAGCAAGACACTTTTTGAAGGAGTTGATAATGAAACCTAACTTGAAGTGTAAGGAGATGCAATCAATAATTAGGACCAAATTTCATTGTGGTGTATCTTGGTCTAAGGCTTACAGAACAAGGTGTAGAGCAATGACCATTATAGATGGTAAACTTACAGAACATTATGCTAGGGTGTGGGACTATTGCCATGAGTTACTAAGGTCAAATCCTGGTAGCACTGTCCAAGTTGGTGTCACTGTAAATCCAGATCAAACAACATACTTTCACAGGATGTATTTGTGTTTTAAAGCAATCAAGGAAGGTTGGAAAATAGGGTGCCGTAGGGTAATTGGTCTAGATGGATCTTTCTTGAAAGGGACATGTAAAGGAGAATTACTCACAGCAATAGGGAGGGATGCAAACAACCAAGTTTATCCAATTGCTTGGGCAGTTGTTGACATTGAAAACAAAGCTAATTGGAAATGGTTTTTGGAACTGCTCACAGAGGATCTTAATCTGCTAGATGGAGGAGGGTTTACTGTAATTTCTGATCAACATAAGGTTTGTAATTTCTTTGCATATTTATGATTTTTCCTTAACATCATCTTATATGTTTATGTATTCATTAAATTGTAGGGATTGCTTGAAGCAACCAAAGAAGTCCTACCAAATGTGGAGCATAGACAGTGTGCAAGACACATATATGCTAACTTTAGGAAGACCTATTCTGGAGTGGAGTTCAAGAATATGTTCTGGGCAGCTTCCTTATCAACTGTAGAGAGTGAATTTCTCAGGAAAATGGATGATATAAAAGAGGTTAATCCAAATGCTTATGAACATTTGATCGCAAGAGATCCTCACACATGGTGCAGGCATTTTTTAGGACTGATGTAGCATGTGAGGCAGTTGAAAATGGCATTGCAGAGTGCTTCAACGCCATCATATTGGATGCTAGAAAGAAACCCCTTCTAGCAATGTTTGAAGAAATTAGGTTGTACATGATGGATAGGTTCTACCATATGTTACAAAAGGCAGAAAAGTGGGAATCAGTGGTTTGTCCAGCTGCTATCAAAAAAATGAACAAGTTTGGAGAGGATTTGAGGTTTGTCTTAGCATTTTTATTGTTCCTTGTTATCATTATTCTAATTTCATTGTTATGATTTCATTTAGTAATGCCATTGTAGGAATTGGAATGTGAATCCAAGTGGACCATCTATTTTTGAAGCCAGGAATGGATTAGAAGGGTACGTGGTTAACTTACAAAGCAGAGTGTGCAGCTGTAGGCTTTGGGATATCTCAGGAATTCCATGTGTACATGCACAGTGTGCAATATTATTCACTGGACAAGATCCTGTTCATTTCATAAGTGAGTGGTTTCATGTGGACAGGTTCAAGGCCATATATGCAAACAATATACTACCTGTGAATGGTAGAAATTTATGGCCTAGAACATCATACATAAAGCCTCTACCCCCTTTAGCTAGAAGAATGCCAGGGAGACCAACTCTGAAAAGAAAGAGGCATGCCACTGAATCTCAAGACAAATACTCCCAAAATAAGATGAAGGTTACAGGAAAAGGAAGGACTGTCCGATGCAAAAATTGCTTCAAAGGGGTCATAACAAGGCATCCTGTAAGAATCCCAAGGTCACACCAGAACCCAAACCCAAGAAAAAAATGGGTAGACCAAGATTGGATCTTGATATCAGTCATTGGACTAGAGGTGGTGTCAGAGGTAGTAGAGGTGGTGTAAGGGGTAGTAGAGGTGGTAGAGGGGGTAACAGAGGTGGTGCAGTGGGTAACACAGGTGATGTAGTGGCTAACAGAGGTGGTAGGGGTAGTAAGAGAGGTGGTAGGGGTAGTAAAAGAGGTGGTAGGGGCAGTAAGACATCTGTTGGAATTGAAGGTGGTGGAGTGGCTGAAGTTGAAGGTGGTGGAGTGGCTGAAGTTGAGGATGACACTATTCCTGAAAAATATTTAGTCCATTTATGGAAGGCAATGCAAGATTTGAAACTATCAGGGTATTCAACTGAAGAAATTAAAAAGTCACTTAGTCTGACAGATTCACATATGAAACAACTCAATGATTACAATGACACTATTGAACAAGTTCTTCCTATGTCTATGGTAAACCCTCTATATTACCTTAATGTTTACATTTATTTATGTTATTAATTGCTTGATGTTTTATAGGAAGAGGAGTATCCACCTCAGACTGAGACACAAGATGGGGCTGAAGAAATTATCCCTGAGACACAACCAGAAAGTGAGGAAGAAGAAGAAGGCATTAATGACACCCATGAATTACCAGTACACCTTAGGATTGTGAAAAAAAGAAGGCCCTCTGAGAGGATTGTTAAAACCAAGCTGAAGAAGATGGGATGTGTTGGGACTTCTTCAAATTCAGCATTGGAGTTGGATTAGACTGTTAGGGTGTTAAGGGTAGTAAGGGTATTTTGGTACATATTTTGTGAATGCTACTTTTGTGCCTCTTTTTTGAATGCTACTTTTGTATATCTTTTGTGAATGCCCTTAAATTACTGATAACCATATTTTGTACATCTTTTGTAAACACATTGAAACATAGTGAATGCCCTTAACATGGTTGGTAATGACATATTGGAGTTTGTTGTTTAATTATTTTAGCCACATTGAAACATTGTGAATGCCCTTAACATGGTTGGTAATGACATATTGGAGTTTGTTGTTTAATTATTTTAGCCACATTGAAACATTGTGAATGCCCTTAATATGGTTATATTTGTCAAGTGTACACCATTTATGCAAACCAAGAAGGGCACAGCAACACCTCTGTAGTAAGATCTTGTTATTGATCTAAATGATTCTTGACCAGCCTAACAAATATATAAAGAAAAAAGAAGAGATTTTTTTAAGATTTCTTTTTATAATAAATGTAACAAGAGAATAAGGTATAGAAGAAAAGAAGGAGACAAACTGTGTCCCAGATTTGGAGCTTTATTGGTTTGTTGTCAATGGTGATCATTTTAGTCCCAAATTCAACACCAATTGTTAAATCATGGTTATATTTGTCTAGTGTACACCATTTATGCAAACCATAATAACATATTGCCATTTCATTAACCGAAACATTACATGATCCACAACAACATTTATCTATTACATCATGATAACAAACCAAAAGATTACATCATCCCTACCATACCATAATACCCTACAACTTACACTAAACTAACCATACATCATCCCTACAATGAAACAAACAAAACAAACCATCATCCACTTGCAGAATCCAAATTCATTACTAGGCACATGTGTATTGTCACACATTGCAATTTGATTATCAGGTTCAAGAGCATTCGCAGGGGCAATAGGGACATCAACATTCACAGGGGCAATAGGGCCATCAACAGGTATTTCACCTTCATTAACAGGGTTATTAAAAGGAATAGCTACACCCCCATTAGCAACAGCTCCTAACTCATACATTCTTTCTTTATACCACTTATTCAATAGTGGTGGGTCAATCCAACGAAAATACCCACAGTCCTTCTCTTCATCCTACATAACATAGCAAGATGCATGTTTTTAACATAGAAAAATGGGAAATTTAGAGGATTAGAAGAATTTGAGTGAGTTTTGAAGATTCTATACCATGTAATTTGGGCAACCAAAAAACCTCCAACCTGGATTCTTTCGAGTCCATGATGTCCACATTCCAACCCTATCTCCACAATAGCACGTTCTGATGTTGGTGCTTGACGAACTCGACATCGATTTCCTGTTGCCAATTTGCCCTAATCGTTCGCTCCTTTGACTGGAGATTGAAGAAGACGAGCTCGATTCAATGATTTAGCCCTCTTAAATGGCACGTAGGATGTTATTTAACATGATGACTTCCACGTAAGCTGCCACATCAGTTAGATACCGGCTAACCTATTAAATATCTCGTTTTGATTACGTTTACAGGTATTTAGGACTAAATTGCAAAAAAATATATATATAAGGGCTAAATCGATTATACGGGCAATACTTAGGGACTTTATTGTAGTTTTCCCAAATTTTAAACATATACGCACTGATACGCAAAACACATTATTGTGGTTTCTTTAGTGTAGCATAAGAGCCTCACGAGTTAAACACAAAAAAATGCCTCAATTAAAAACAGAAAATAGACATGCGATAAACATGTGAATTTCAAACACACATACACAAACTTTTTGCTAATATTTTTAATCTATTTTTGTGCATATGTTATTATGTAAATTGATTATGAAATTGACCAAAAGTTGTATCTTAAATCCTCCAATGGTGCACTATCTTTGCCATTCGTTCTTTCCAATTGTAAGTTATCTTGGATTTCTCAGTGTGTGCCTATGTGTCTATGTTTTCCTTGTTATAGTTAAAGATCAACTAGGCGAGAGTAAGTTGGTGAATGCTTAACCCACAAAGTTTTTTTCCCAACAAATGAAACCGTAAACCCAATTCCCGTAGACAAAGTCAGTCAAAGTAATTAAATTATGGTCACTTGTTAATAACAAAACTTTGTCATCATTGTTAGAAATTAGGTAAGAAGCCAACCAAGAATACCAAATTCAAATCTCCCAACATGTTTTGATTCATCATTATTCCTCGAATCAAGTTCCTAACGTGCTTCTAAAGAACAAACAACTAAGAGATCGATTGTGATCATTGTACATTGATTACTACATTAATTTTAAAGTTAATTGAAGATTCATAAAAAACCCCAGAAGCAAATTACTTACCAATTGAATGAATGGGTTGTATTTCACCAGTTCACTACCACGACCACCTTGAGCTGCTACCTAGTGAAATATCCTATTTTGGCTTTATATTTTAAATATCATTACATAAGTAAGTTACTACTACATCACATCATTACATAAGTAACTTACTACTACATCACATACTACCTTATAGTGACACTTAAAATATCTCACGATCCTTTAATCATCAATCAATACTCGCACATGAATACATGTCACTATGTTAGTAGTAGGTTATCATTGAAAATGACTAGTGAGTAATACAAGGATTTGCTGACGTTTGTAGTTAAGGAATGACTCATACCTTGACATATGACATATCCCCAAATCATTTGAAAACTCTTTTCAAAATCGTAACTCTTTTATAGAAACCTCTTTATCTTTTCATTTTTAAAACACTCTGTTTTCTGAAAAACTCTTTTTACAACTCATTACTCTTTTCATCTTTAAATGTTTAAGAAATATAGCATTTATAAAACATAAATGGAAAGAATATAATGCAATATGAAACTACATCAATTTCTATTCCTCTCATCGTCCCATGATGCGACCTTGCTTCGTTGCTCTGGCGTGGTGCTGGGAAGTATCTGCAAGGTCACAAGAGAAAGTCACCGTCAGCCGCTTCCCGGGAGGAGACTCCCGGAAGAACGCTCCGACGGTCAAGTTATAAGGTGTTTAGGGTATATCTGAAAGGAATAGCTTGGTGAAGAGTGCTTACCTTTAGGGGCTCCTGATAGCGCCCTTTTATACCTAGCGACCCTACTCGACCGTACAGGACAAGATCGCTTGTAGAGGACAAGGTCAGAGGTGTTGATTGGAGGATTGTGCGCCTCTTTCTGTGAGAGTACTGCCATTGGCTCCGATGGTAATGCTCTGATCATTTTCCTTGTCGCTTGACCGTACCCTTTGTCTTGATGTCGGGAGCGTCCCTGGCGAGCGCGAGCCTTTCACCGGGGCGCCCTGCTCTTAGGGGCGTTGGTGGGCGCTGAGCCTGCTTCCTTTTGGCTCGGCCAAGGCGCCAAGTTTCTCGGTCGGGCATGACTCTTCCGTGGCGGCTTAGGCACATCATCATCCCACTCATCGCTTTCTCATTTTGATAGTAATTAAGACTATGATATAGCACAAAGCACCCTACATCACAACTTCGCTCGTTTTGTCATTAGTCGTCATCAAGGGTATGATTGAGCTATCATTCACCAGTCCCATAAGTGGGGCACATCTAGAATACCACACTACTCATAGGTTTTTATAATTATTGTTTGCCATGAAATTTGGAAGGATGCACTAGTCATTTCCCCTCTTACATGAATGTATATGGATTCATGATAAAAACTCTTAAAATTATTCGAACTCTTTCTCAAAACTCATTGTAAAATCATTTTCATGCAATGCAAAAATAAATACAGTCAAAATGAAAACACATGGCAAGTAATTTATACAAGATTTAGACACTTCACATTTTGAAATCATCATAAATCATTTTATAAGACATGTATTCCAAAGTACTCATACAAATAACTATATTTAGGTTATTTCCTGGTAATACGTACTATGTACTTTATTTATACTTTTATACTAGTATTAAGGTATGTATGTTTCCAAAGACAATCTTAGGTTTACACACCAAATACACACATTCTTTAAATCAGGGCTTACTTTGTAACACCCAGTTTAATATATAAATAAATAGATAAAGATTTATAAAAGAATAATAGCCCTAAATGTGAAGTAGTGCAACAAGAAGTTAGTTTTGGGGGTTAGGTATAAATTTGGGATTTAAGTTACAAAGATTTTATGGAATCAGGGACTAAAGTGTAAGTTTGGGACTAAAGTTGAAAAGAATGAGAGGAGAAAGGACTAAAACGGATAACATGGCCGAAGTTTGATAATTGGGCCTGAATTGAAAGGAATTTAGAAGGGCGAGGGTTGAAAGGGTAAATACGGATTAGATTTGAAAGAAATTGGAGAAGGAGGGGCCAATTTCGTCATTATGGGTGGATGTTATGTGAATCGGGTATATAGCCATCGACTCCTCCATAACCCTAACCCTAGCTACATTTTTCAGCCGCCACCATCTCACAATCCTCCCCAGTTGCCGCCACCTAGTCAGGGTCGGCCGTCGTAACTCGCTGCCATTGAAGTCACGAACAACCGAAGTAGGACCGTCGAAGACCAAGTACGGAGTGTTGTTGTCGCTGATGCAAGGGTCGTGAACGACTAGCTAAATATACAATATATATATATATATATATATATATATATATATATATATATATATATATATATATATATATATATATATATATATATATATATATATATATATAGAACTTAGGAGGAAAAATCAGTTGGTGAAAAACAACATTATTCAAGAGTAAACCATTCTCCGAAAATTTAATCCATAAATATACAAAAAATGTTTGAGAAAATGAAAAAAAAAAATTAAAATGGCATATTGATCTTTTTAAATTTAACAATGACCAATTCCACAATGAGACTAGCTAAAAATGACCAGTAATCCAAATAAAATCTTGTTTTGGACTAAAAACCTAAAAAAAAAATTACATACTACATAGATCATATTTGTAGTTTTGTCTAATTGATATGTCAAAAAAAGACCTTTCATTTTATACGTTTATTTTAAATAATTAACATTTCAAAAAACATTCTTAGAGCATTTATAATGAGATGTTTTTTATAAATTTATCCAAAAGAACTATTATGAATTATGGACTTCTGAGTTGGTATTATGTATTTTAATTTCATTGTAATATAATTTTATAAATATTACATAACGAATTAGATACAAGAGGTTTAACATGTTTTACAAAAATAAATAGAAAGTAGAAGATATCATATATCAAACATAACTTGTACTTTTTGTTATACAGATTTAATAAATTAGGTTAATAGATTAAAAAAGATAAATGTATAAAACTAGAAGTAAATAAGAGCATCTCTCAATTAAATGATATGAATTGTCTCAATAGATTTGGAGTTTAATTTTCAACGAGAAAAAATAAAATAAATATTATAAATTAGTTTTTGTAATCTTTTATTAAACCTTATATAAAATTGAAAGAATTTCATATATGCTCTTCCTAAACATCAAAATATCATATTTATTCAACTTAATTTCAAAATATCATATTTACCCTTTATAAAATTTCTAAATATCATATTTACCTTTCATAAAATTTCAAAATATCATATATGTCCTTTTTAAATATCAAAATATCATATACCATTTTTAAATATTAAAATATCGTATATGTACATTTTAAACATCAAAATATCAATAGTAATATCTAAAATAACCTCTATCTACAATATGATAATAATCAACAACAAAAACTAGACAATCAAAATATATATTCTTTATAGAGGGTTGAAAATGAATCTTTTTGTTTGTCAAGAGAGCGACATTCCAACAATTTAGAAGTACACATTCTATTATCATAGACGTAAGGATAATATAATTAATATTTTTAATTATTATAATAATTCTAAGGTATAAAGAATGGTTATAAAATATTAAATACATTATAAAAAAGGATTTTGGCAAATATGATATTTTGAAGTTTATGAAGGGTAAATATGATATTGAAAAATTAAGCTGAATAAATATGATATTTTGATGTTTAAAAGGAATAAAATGAGCATATATGAAATTCTTCCTATAAAATTTTATAGAATTATATGGAATATATTATAATTTAATATAAATACATTCTATTCATTTAAAATGAGAATATATCAAATATTTATAGCCCAACAAAATTTTGATAATCAACATGGCTATATGTACCTGAAATGGCACCTAGTCAGGCTTCGCTCTCACTCATCTGCTTTTACTTCGGCTATACCGGATCACCACACCTTTGGCGTGGAGTCAAAAATGGCAAGGATACCATTTTGGCTTAGAGTTTTCTCTCTGCTAAAAGTCTAAAAGAGTCTATACGTATTCCTTTTTCCCTGTATTTTTGCCATTTTTGACACAAAGTCCAGCGGATTAAAGTCATTGTGACCCACTTGTATCGCTTGTCGCCATCCCTCGTTGTCCATTGTGCTCTTAAAGCTTGATCTCCGCGCCGGAGACCGGCTGTCCGCCACTATCACCTCCTCTCCCTCCAGCCGCCGGTATATTCTAAGTCCGTCCTTTTCGGCCATTTCAGTCGATCATACATCCACAGAAGCCAACAAAAACAACCCATCTAGGCAAGACCCAGGCGTTACACAACAATGGCCAACAAAGATGATAATCGATCCACTAATGAAGCTGCAAGATCAACTCGTCGAGTGAAAATAAAGTTGGATCATGTTAAAACGGAAGATCCAGAACATGATCCCATCGACAATTCAAGTAAAAGGAGAAAGACAGCTTCAGTGAACACAAGAAGCACTCCACCTCTTGATGATCCTCATGGAAATGAAGGAATGTGGCGGGGGAATGTTGTGGGACCAGAGGCAAAAGAGCTGCTACAGGCTGTTGAGAAGCAATACCCCAACACATTTCAAGGGGTTCAAATTCGTGCAAAGCCTATTTGGTTGAACATTTTGAAAGAGCTTCATCTGGGCATCAAAAGTTTCATGGAAACATCCGTGGATGAACTGGTGGAGGAGAAGATAACCGGTTTTCAAGAAGATTTTGAAGAATTCGAGAAGTTTGGATTCGATCTCTCGTGGGCCCGAAGAAGACTAGACATGGTTGACAGGCTGAAGTTCGGAAAAGAGCCTCTGCAAAATGAGTTGAATGCCTTAGAAGAATCGTTAGAGCCATTGAAGGAAAGGGTTAAAAGGCATTTGAAACAGATTATGGAAGCTCATGATATGTGGAAGAAGGCACAATTAGAGTATGATAATGTTATAGATGCTCGAGACAAGAAAGCACAAGAGGTGGAATTGAAGTTTGGAGCTGAATACGATCGAGTATTGAAAGGTCGTCTTGGTTTTGGTATGTTGCCAGGGTACTAGCTTTCTTTTTTTTTGTTTCACTGTAGTAGCAAATTAGAAGAATCCAAAATGTAAATTATTACTTTAATTTGTTTTGCAAAACCTAACTTACATATTGGAAATGAAGATTTGAAGAACACCTACCGTAGGTACTGTAACTCTTCAGCATAGCCTTGGAAAGAAGCTTCACAGAATTTGATGAGGTTGTGCTAACTCAAATTTGATTCAATAGCAGCTTGATGACCCTTTGTTCATTCAGGCTTTAGGTTGGTTTTTTAAGGCTTTTTAGAAAGATTCAAATATATAGCTTGAAAATATCCACAAAAGTTGTGGTTATAAAGTATCCTCGATTCAAGAGCATGAATGGCTCAAAATTATGAAAACTATGTTAGATAAAGTACGTTTTATTTAAACCCGGCACAAACTTTGAAGCATACATAATGCTCAAAGAGATCGATGAGGATTAGAGTTGAACTTTTATAATTATATAGTTGAGCATGATTCATTATACGTGTTGAACTCACTTTTTGTACTAACACTAGATACCGTTAGGTGTTAGTTTAGATGTAGATTATATATTTGTATTTTTCGGTTAAAAAAAAAAAACACGTTAAGCGAACTCGATGAAATTTGAATCATCTTCAACTTTGAGATGACTTGATAAAAAGTTTGAGTTGTTTATTGTCCTGATATATTACCCCATATTTGACCATCCATCGGGTTTTTTTTTTTTTTTTTTTTTTTTTTTTTTTTTTTTTTTTTTTTGAGATTATATTACCCCATATTTTTGTTATTTGCTAAATCTGCCATATACATAAACCAAGCTGGTGTATTTAGTGGTATCAAGAGTCTTGAAAAAATATTATTTGGTCAACTTAACCAACAAGTTAAGTATTCAACTTCTCATTCAAACGAAGATATAGATTTATGAACATGATTATGGTTTGCATTAGATAGTTCGTTCTTAGAAAATATCTACTAGAGAAAAATCCAAATTTAGTTTAATCTTCTACTTTTTTTACAAAAAATAGCCAAAAAAAGAAAAGATATATTAGGCTACAATTTCACCTTATAGGCTGTGATTCATCGTGAGTCAATCCCAAAAGCTTAAATGATACAATATAAAAATAAAAGATTATTTATGATAAATAATAGTATTAACAAGAGTTGTAATAATCATGATGATGATCTCATAGATATAAAGAACATCAAAATCTAACTTTGTATAAGAAATTTATGATTTATTTAAATTTTGTGGTCAACCCAATACGATAATACGTGTTATAAAAAGTGAACCGGAGATAGGTTGTTTTTTAACCAAAGTGATGTAAGTAGTCATTAATAAAAATAAATAAATAAAAAAAAAAAAAAAAAAAAAAAAAAAAAAGTATGCATATAAAGAATGCCAAAATTTAAATTCATATGAAGTAATTATGATTTTATGAAGTTTTAAGTGTGACAAAGTACAACAATGTGCGACATAAAAATCGCAATTAAAATCGATCGATTGTTAGCCAAAACAATGTAAACAAGACTTAAAGATCTCATAAACACAAATTAGTCGATATAAAGACATTCGAGAATGGAGCTCGTATACGAAATATATAAACGAAACCTGGTCCCTAAGTTTCGAACACGACAAAATTTGTACAGATTTGTAAAATTGAAATATAATGAGAATTAACCGACGGAATCTAAATGAAGTTGTAGTACTCGTCGATACAAAATCAGAGATATACAGAACATCAGAAATGAAGTTTGTATGAAGAAATTATGAATTTCACAGCATTATTTATAGTCTAAATCTCCTCAAACCGAAACATAAAAATAAAATTAGAACAAAGTATAATTTATTTTTCTTATATAAGAAAAAACTAAACAAAATATAATTAATTTTCAGTTGATTCTATGATTTGTAACGATCCAAAAATCGAGGGTAAATTTTTCATTTTATTATAGTCAAAACACATATATCTTTAAATCCAAGTATTCCAAAACATTGCTAATTAAAAACATTTATCAGAGTTCATCCAAAAATCACATAATACGGAAAACATAGATCAATAATTAAGTAATAATTTAATTATTGTTGATAATTTGATTTATTATAATTATAAGGTAAATAATGAATAAAAAAACAAGCATCCCATCAATTCTTTTGTATTACACACAATTGTATCTTATTCGCGATACTAATAAACATCGATACGTTCCTATATATATCTAGACGATTTTTTTCTTATTAATTTATTTATGAATTTTTCAAACT